TTAATTTTAATCTTCATAATGTTCAACTAATCTGATGATTTTGCCTTCAGGGTTTTAGAAGTCTCTAAAAGTTCTGGAAGTTTAAACAATTCTGAAAAATCTTAAATTTCCAAAATGTTATGATTTCAAAGTCTCAAAGAATCACAGATCCAAGTTCTATTTTAATATCCTGCATAACCTAAGTTCCAAAGTTCTGAAGTTATGATGTCGAAAAGTTGCAAACTCTTGAAGTCCTAAAGTCCCAATATTCCAAACGAAGATTCAAACTCCCACGGTCTTAAAGTTTAAAAATTCTAAAAACCCACAGTCTCAAAGTTCACAAAATTAATTCTAAAACTTCAAAATCGCAAACTATAATACCAGAATCCCTCAGATCTTTAAATGAAAATATCTCAATGTCCCAAAGATCCAAATTCCCAAAATTTCAGAGTCTAAAAATTCAACAATGTCAGACTCTCACAGTGCCAAAATTGAGAAGTGTCAAAATCACATTAGTGAAATTAAACCACTTCCCTCTCTCATTTCTTAATAATTAAATTGTTGAACATCCTCAAATTATAATACTTGAAAACCCTCCAAAATACTTCGAAACCCCCAACATCTCCAATAAAAGCGTTGGGAACCGAATATTCCGAAAACTTCCAAGTGTCCATTATTTTGTCCAACGCCTGTGTCTTCTCTGTACGAAATCTATCTCCTTCTCGATAGCTAATCGCATCTTTATGGAGTATATATTTTCAGTGGTATCTAACTAGGCGTAGTATTGTAATTGTTGGACAAAACCGATCGAGAGGGAATTGATCCGTGTACGGGGTTTGATGTCCCGACAAAACAGGCAAACTCGAATGACGAAGATTGTTCAAAGGGTCATTGAACCGTTCACGGTCAGCATCAATATTTAAGCAGAATTAGAAGATTATGGTCAGGCTGTGCTTGTACTGGCTAACAGATGGTCCAATCGTATAGATTACGTATTCATAAGGAGAATATTAATTGAGGACACAACAATGTAGCCTGACTGTGTTACACGGCGCACGAGTATGATTTGAACATTTTTTTCCCCTAAGGACGTTCTCTGTGGAATATGAATTATGAAACTGTTGACCTAAGAAAGTGGAGCGCGGAAAAACTGCAACTGATTCGAATTGATGTAATGAATTACAGTAAAGGATAACCCCCGTTGTGGTGATCTTAGGACTATGGTCTTTGAGATTTTTATATTTCAAAAATTAACGAAATTATATTATTTAAATGTAGAAATCTCTTTAACTATCTTCGACATTTGTTCTCTTTGGTAAAAAGTTAAAAGGTATGGTCATAGTGCCATGCAACTGGATTGTGATGTTTGTTCTAATACAAGTTATAGAAATTATAAATCGCATTTTTCAATATTATTTGTATTTAAGTACTTAAATACTTAAGTACTGTTTATTTTACCTTGCCTAATATAAGAATTGTGTAGAAAATGAAATCACAGCCATCTTTGTCTTAAAATTTTGTTTCAAATTGTAACATTTTTTTTTAATTCAAGTTGTGAAAACAGTGACTCTAAAAATATTGCATAAATCTTCGAAGCAAAAAAACGTTGAATCTGAATGGTTGAACAATTTCAATTTCAATTTGTCCAATAACCGTGTCACTAAAAAATTGCTCACACGATGAGAATTAATTTTTAACAATAATTAGGTGTTTTGTAATTGCTGCCAATATCACAGATTCACAAGAAAATTATAAAAATTTTAAAGAAAAATATTTTTCATAAAATAGGTGTTGTATACACACATGGGGGTTATCCGCACTGAACTATTTAAATTTTACTGTTCCTAGATTTAATCGTACAAATTCGAGTGTAAAACGAAATCAAATGTTGCTATCGATATCTCTGTTTGCTCAAAACAATAAATATTGTATTGTACGAACATTATTAATTTCGCTATTTTTAGATTTAGAGTAAAATCGAAACATACCTTTTCTCAGCGTTGTATTCGAGGTTATATTTGAAGTTTAAATGTATGTCAGTTGTATGTATGTATGTATGTATCAAAATGATGCATTTAAAATATAGAATTTAAAAGTAAAATATTTTACCTCGTAAAAAATAAACAATGATTCTATAAACTGTCAATAGCGATTTTTTCAAAATTGATTTTATTTTGGTAATTATAATGATTGATTTTATTAATTATTCGTTTCTGCAGATTTTTCTAGTCAAATGATAACTTTCCAGTTAGATGATACTAGTAGATGAATCTGTCAAATTAAATTAAGGTCAAAACGTAATATCGCCACGCGATGTATGACCAAACGTTGCGTTGTATCACTAGTAAGTATTACATTCGATTGTCCTAGAAACTTCAACGTTTCAAAACTTGAACATTTGAAAATTCTTTGCAAATATTTCGTAACACATACGTTTAAACTTCAAATACTTTCGTGAACCTATGTATATTTAATACAGAAATACAGTAATAACTCGGATAAACTTAATCAAATTTCTTATTTCATTCTATTATATTGTTGCATATCAAAAGACGATCTACGAAACAGAGAAATTCTGACACCATTTGACAAATTAGTACTTTGGAAAATAAGTACTATTTTGTGTTTGTGTCATGAAAATATAAATCGATCATTTGATGGGCAACAATCTACAAGTTATAAATCAAATATTAAACAGATACGAATCTGTTTTCCAAAAGAAGGCGTTTCGTGAAACTCTTACAACTTTATATATTTGAGATAACATAAAACAATCGTACTGTTTCATTAGCAAATAATTAATATCGATCCTTTCAAGGCAACATGTATCACGAATCAATTATTCCACAATTCTTTAAAAAATCATTGTAAGACATGCGAATATTCAACAATGGCGTAACTAGGTAGGAAAGTGGATCTGTTCACCAAAAATTATTAGAATGAAAAATATTCGTCAGTCCAAAAGTCTTAGTATGGTAAAATTAATATTCAATTTGCAATATGCAGCTGGTATTAGGTAAACAATTAAATTCACGACTGTTCTGTGTACTTTATTTCGAAACCAATCAAACTAAATCGCAGAAAATTAAAAAATAACTCCGTACTGAATTTGTATAATTATGTATGAATAAAAATGAAGTGAAACCAGTTATAAACCTAATTTATTCATTTCTCAAAATTATAAATAAAAACTCTGTTAAATTATGTAACATTTGATGGTTCACTTTAACTAAAAATCCTAGTTACGTCAATGGTTTTCAGGCACCGTGCGCTTATATCACAGTAAGTTGAACAAAAAAAACAAATAAAGATACTTATACGACATGTTAAACTTGAAGGAATTTAACAGAAGAGAACAAAGAAAAAACTAGAAGAAGTAAAATGGTGAAAAATATTCATATGATGGTATATTTTCGGTGTAAAGCAAATGTATATGTAATATATCCGTGGTAAAACTACGTGTATCTCGTAGCTTTAATGTACCAACCGGAAACAGCGATCCTCCTAACGAGCGATTTTTTGAAAACGTTCCAATTCGAGCAAAACGAATCCTTATTTTACGCGTTTGATTTTCAGCCGTGAAAGAGAATTCGTTTCCGATTGGTACCAGCATGTAATCGGACTATTCGTTTGAATGTTGATTGTTAAATGTTAGGAATAGAAGAAAAAAATCTTACGAAAACATGTCCTTGTCTACAAGTATCGTGCATCTGGGACATCGGTTACGTTGCATACGGGATTTTGTTAGATTAGTAACAACTTTTTCATCGAAATGAAACATCGATCATTATTATTTCGTTTTTTAATGCATTAAACTCTAATGGATACGATATTGAATGTGTAATCTTTTTTCGAAGAGTCATGTGTCGTCTAATGTACGTACGTATATTGGCATTTAAACATTAATGTTACTTTGTTGTTTACACATATCGTTGGAAGATTTGTGTCATGTGTAATGTCGATTATTCTATTAAAAACTTCTAATATTACGAGAGGCGTTTGGAAATCAATACCCACCGGATCCATCGTTTGAATTCATAGAATATTTTCTGTTCATAATTTTTAATAATCGATCAATGTTATCGAGCATCATGAAATCATTTTATTTCATTCAGGATTGACGTATTGATTTTACAAGGACTTGGCGAGTTTTGATTTTAAATGTCTCATATTGCTCGAATCTATTGAAAAAGTTAATGAACTTGTTACTGTTTTTATACTTACGATTTACTTCGATTCACTTTCTTTACGTTGCACAGAAAGACTGCCCTAAATAAGCTTTGTATTTGTAATTTTACTTCAAGGAGTATATACACTTAAAAAATCACAAAAAAATTTTCATCATTTTTTTTTCAGGAAGCTATTGAAGTTGAATTGATATTTTTATAGCTAAAAATATTCTGAAAAAAGATAATATTTTTTATTGCAAATTTTTATGTATTTAAATATAAATCGGCAATGTTGGATATTTTGTAAATATTTAAACGTAAAAAATTTTAATTTTTAAAAATATACATTTTTGGGTATATATGCTCCTTTAATTTTGTAAAAGTATAAACTATGTATATATTTCTTTTGTTGAAGAATTTAATATTTTCTGTTTAATGGCTTATCATTTCTGGAAGAAAACGAAAGAAACTGAATTCTTTGATTTAAAAAAATGCAGTCACTGCCATAGCTTATTTGCAACGAAATTCACTTCTCTCGATAGAAATTTTGACACTGCCTCGAAAAGGTGGCTATTGGTATACAAGAATCTTGGTATCAACGAGTATAATTTCAGTTGAAGCTTTATAGATGCATGGGAATATTTTTAATGGTAAAAATCATCGTTTGAAACGCTGCGTTCGCAATACCTTAGTTACGAGAAAGCCTAAATATTGATATGATTATTATCACTAGTTATTGTACTATAATTGAAAGTATGTAACTATTTTATAAATAAATAGATAATCAATGTTCGTTGCTTTGTCTTCATTTTTTGTTAAGGTGTACCAGTTGTGAGAAAAAAGTATAGCTTCTAAAAGTTATTAAGATTTTATTTTCCTCGTCCACATTTATACAACTTATTCAATTTCTTATTGTACTTAAAAATATTGTATACAGTATTACGAATTTCTTATATATAATCATTTTTTATGAAAATTTTTCAATTACTAATAACTATCTCAAGATGATTTCTTTAACTCGCTCGCTGCCACCCGTTTCTTTGTTACATTTAACTTGGAAATTTGTAAATTGGACAATTTTTAATCTCTATACATATATTTTGAATGTCCCCAATTTTTTAAATATTTAAATTCATCGATTTCTTTATATTGAGGCTATTAATATTCTTTTAATTGTTAATTTCTTTTCTTGTTAAATATTTAAAAATTCATTTTAAATCAATTCTTCAAAGTTAGTTTTATTAATTTATATATTTCAAAAGTTTTTAATATGATCTGGCGATAACGACACCATCAAGTGCCACCTTCATCAAATTTCAAAATGGAGTTATTAAAATAAAGAAACTATTTAAATTTTGATATACCGCCATTTTTAATAGGTGGCAGCGATAGGGTTAATCAATAATATTAGTTAAAATGCATTATCAAATTTTATGAACAATATATTTTATATTGATACATTCATTGTTATTTCAACATATAAATATATGATACACAGTTCCTTCCAAGTATAAAGATTACAACATATCAATCAAGAGTATACTATAAAAATGTAAAGTAATCTAAATACTTTTAAAGAACTTATTAAGATTCTAGCTTTAATTTTTCCAGTAATTGTTGACCAATAAAATCCCAGTACCTTCTTCTTATCGTATCGTGTTTTTCAGACAATTCTTTACACAGCTAAAGTTGAATGTAAGTATAAGTAACATCAACAGTATACAAATATATAAATATGTGAAAAGATGAAATACCTTGAGAGCATGATTAATATGAAATATCGAATCTGGTGGTTCATCTCTTGTTGGTCTCTCTTGACAGATGTCTATAATACACGCTAGTAAATGATTGGTACGGTAGCCTGCTGCATAAAGCTCCTCACATTTCCGCCTTACTTTTTCATTATAACTCAAACCACTGCTGTCATGCATTAAAATACTAAAATATGTTATACGATTTACATATTAACAAGATCAAACAATTTATAAGTATTAATTACATAAAAATTGATCACCAACAGTACCCTTGAAGATAATTCCAAGCGCTTTCATTTCCTTTTACTATGTCTATTTTTTTCAAAGCAAAATCAATTTCTCTATCAACTATATGTTGCTCAAATTTTGTTGTGTTACTTATTACAAAATACCGTTGATTCCAAGCAGAGTTGTTACGAATATTTTCTTCCAATAATTGTTCTACATATTCCAATTCATTGTCGAACATGCTAAATACAAATGAAATATTGATTAAGGTCCACACAATTACTTTAATATTATGAATGAATATTAGCACAATCTACTAACTTAAATGTCTGTATACACCACTGACGATATTGCCAGGCATGATAATTCTTTTCATCCTTTTTTAAAATATATTCAGTAAACTTTAATTCTTCGCTGGCATCTTGAAGCCATTCGACGATTACTTTTCTATGATGCCAAACTTGATAGTTTTTTGAATTGATTTCTATTACTTTATTATCGTACTTTAATTCTTCGTGTAAGTCTTTTCCAAGGACTTTAAGTATGTCTCTTCTATATTTCCATACTGTATAATTTGCTGGATTAAGCCCAATACAGTCTTCCGTTAAAGCTAATGCACGCTCAGATTTTTCGCCAGACTTTAAAACAGCTCGGAAGTAGTCATAGCAGTCTTTAACTTAAAATAATAGTGACCATAAATATAAATGTTAAGAGATACAAGAATTATTATTCTTTAATATCATGAATACTAATTCTATCATTCTAATATTTACAAAGACACCTTTTATTTTAGGAGCATGCAAGGTTAGACAGTGAAGGTTATGTATAAAAAAGATCTTATTGTGATAAGATAAATCTATTAGGTGCTGTCATTTCCACATAAAATCAAATTCAGAAACAGCATAAAGTACTTACATTTTTCAGAATAAGCAATTGCAACAATAGGATGAGGACCGTCATCCTGTGGTATAGGAATCACGTCACTCCATTCTTTGCGATCCTTGTACAATATCCATGAAGATTCTTCGGGACCATCTCCGCTGTTCAGTCCCTCGTCAGAACTCTCTGTCATTTTTGTTTTCACAAAATATTATACAGCAACAGAAAAAAATATGTTTATACAACTTAACTCCTAGCCTAACTTTATCTTTTCAAACCTGTAAAATCCTCTATCAAATTCCTTTCATATCAGTCTTTCGAATCATACTATAGATGTCTCCGTTAAGTTATAAAAATTCATGTTTCAAAATTATTTTCTGAAGTAATCTTTTATTCTCAAAATTACCTTGCATAGATATGAATGTGCATTGTTCAACTCTAGTTACATAAATGTATATTTAAACTATAAACGTCATCGTCGAATCTACAGAATTTCACACAATATTGCGAGTTGTATTTTCAATATTAGGAAATGTTCAGATTAAACGAGCAAGAACATACTGATGCAATATAAGAGCAAGATAAGAGCAAGTTAATTGTTTAATCTGTTTTTTTTTAATATGTAATGTTCTTCAAAGAACTAATAATTTTGACTTGTCATCGCAAGTATCAACATGACGCATTTTATGATAAAACGTAGTCTTTAAATTAGTTCATCCATTGTCAGATGGAGCCAGTGGTTATCGTTTTGTAGGGGCCTTGAATAACGTAGGACTCCCACTTTATCGAGTGTAGGTAATTGAATAGTAATGTTCACTCGATTTAAAATGGAAAAGTTCAAAAAGTTTATTTAAAATGTTTGAATTGCTTATAACGTGAATAATATAGTATTCTTTATAATTCACTATACACATGAATAATTACACAAATAGTTCGCGATTAAAATATAAACTATGTGATTCGACGCGTCTATCCACAAGAACGTTTTTCAGGGAAGTGACTTTCTCTTTCCGAGGGAAAACCCCTTCCAGGAAAAATGGGGGAAAAATGTACCCTCCGGCGGAACGGTTGAGCGGAAGTAGGTGTCGCCACAGTTTTGTGGCGACTGTACCGACAGCGACACATGCGCCCTCTGGACAGTTCCTATTTTTAGTTACTTTTTATTTCTTAGGTTAAGTTGTAAATAGTAGTTGGTAAGACTAGTTTATAAGGAACGCGGCGCGAAAAAGAAGAACGTCGTTCTTCCACTTCTTGTTACGAAAGCGAAAGAGTCAGCACGTGTGCGTATTAATAAAAAGTGCAATCCTTGCAAATAGCAAGAAAAGTCGTTGTGCGTCATTTCCTACACCGGGCTCTCCTTCACGAACCTTAGTCCCCACAGTTTTAAAAGAGAATATGCAGTCAAAAAGTGCATATTTGAGATTAATTTAAAAAATGCATAATTATAGTTAAAGCAAGTTTTACAACAGGGAATAAATATTATACTGAAGGTTGTCATTGAGTAATATAATTGTCATCTGTTCGAGTTTTTCCTACACACCGCGAGCCAGTGTTGGGCAGTCCCAGTGCATGCGCAGTAAGCTATCCGTAGAAGTCCTCAATAGCGTATACACTTTGATGAAATATAAGGTATCATTAGACCCTAGTAAGGAAAAAAAAATAAATCTGAAGAAAATTGCAGGAGAGGGAATAAAAGGGTTAAATAATACAACAGATTATATATAATAAAAGTAATATTAAATTTATTTATGATTATTATTATTTTTTACGTTTGCAGCCGATTTATTATATGAATACCAATATTTGTTGCAAGAGCAAAAGGAAAAGATACCGCTCGATTTTTATCGGATCTATGCATGTTAACAAAATTGTTATTTTAAATATAATAATCTCCCATATTCCATCATATTATTCCCATTATATTATATTATATAATTCACGATATATATATATATATATAGTTGAATAGTTTTATACAGTCATATATATAACTAACCTAACCCAGCCTAATGTAATCTAACTCAACCTATACATTCATAGTTTACAGTGCAATTATAAGAATTTTTGAAAAGTTATGTAGGTTCATAAAGGTGCCCTCATCAGTTACCATTGCGTATACCGGCTAGGTACGGCATTGGCAGCAAGCTGTGACGTCAGCTGACGCATGCGCATAAAGCTCTCGCCTGAGATAAAATCTCATGACTGCCCAACACTGCTTCTGAAATCAGCTGAGATTCGCAAAAATTCTGTGGGATTTTTGCATACTTCTGTGGAATATTTATGCGATAACTTATTTGTATAAGATATTCGCAGGGTAACTTATTCCTTGGGATGAGTTGTCTACTTGAATTAAATTTTATTAAATTGAATGAAGATGATAAATACCATAGAAGTCGAACACAAGTAATTTGGAAGAATAATTAATTATATAAAAAATATTAAATATTAAAATTAAAAACAAGGTTATCAATAATCAAGTTAATTAGAGAGTTTACTAAGAGAAGTAAAATGGAAGAATTATCCAAGAAGTAAAGATAACAAACACAATAATGGCAGTAAAATTAACGGACTGGAAAACTAAATAAAAAATTGCTGACAGAAAAGATAATGATATTCGCCAGAGATAAATACGGAGAAAAATAAATATAGACCAGAAATATTATATGATAATATAATTTGATAAATTAATATGGGACATGCTAGAAATTAATTAACTGGTTAGTATTAAATTTACAATAACTAATTAATTGAATTTACAACTTTTGTAGTACAAATATTTTTTACAATTCGTCTTTCGAAATATTAATATTTCATGAAGAATTAGTAAACAATTTAGATTTTAGATACTGGAAATGTTCGAATGAATGCAATGTCTGATACATCAGGGGCTATACTACTTTCGTCTCTATCTTTCAAGTGGAAGAAGAAGATAGAAAGTACAACATTACTTGTGAACTCAATTTCTCTGCAACAAGTGTTCCTAATCGATACTTCGATGAAATTATGTGAATCCGCTCAAGTAACAGCTGACAAAGTTACCTATTAATTTCCAGGGTAAAATCATAGTATTTTCCGAATATCTGCTCGTTCGGTGTTGCGACTTTCGGTAACCGAATTTTCATTTTCGTTAACTGATGCATTAAGGCAAAGAATCCATCATAAAAATACTTATCCTCGGCAATATAACGAACAATTTTAACCTAACTTTTTTAAATATATTTTATATACACGGTACAATTTAGTAATAACAGATTCAAAGTTATATAAATTGATTGATCATAGAAATTGATTGATCATAGAAAATTGTATGAGTAGTTAAAATTATTACATGTACATATTGCAT